AGTTCAGAAGCCCCCTTTTTTTGGGAAACTTAGACGGGATTTTAAATTGGGCCTGTGCTTTTATTTGGGTTAAAACCTTGCTTAGTTTTTTTTGGAAAAAAGGGTCAGGAAAGTACACTTATTTGTTGACAACTGTTTGGGGTTACCCCTTTATTGGTTTTGAAATGTTTGAAACTTATCAGAGCTGGTTGAAGGAAATTTTGATGCAGTGGTAGTTTATTTTACTATTGTTGATGAACAGATGTGTAGATGAATTTAAAGAAATTTTGCCACCTTAAAAGTTTCATGGCATACCTCATTATCGATAGTGAGTACTTTTTAATATCTATGGTTAGGGGCTTTAACCCCAACTGTTTTAGTTGTTGCCGAGCTTTCGGGGTTTATGCTTATACTTTTCCCTTTTTTTTGAGCAGTATGCTTTGCCTTTGCCCCCTTTTTATAAGTCTCTTTACTTTTTTTTCCCCCCCCTTTGGGAAATTTTCATTTAGTGCGCAATTTTCCTGTTGTTTGGGTTTTAAATTTTTTTTAGCAGCTGGTCTCTTTAATTCCATATTATCTAATATCTCAGTATTTTATCCAGGGGTTTAGTTTTTTCGTTTAATCCTAACCTCTTTAACTGGTACAATATTTTTCAAGGGTGGTTGAACCCTTGTTTTTAATTTTTTTTTGGCATCGTTTACGTCCGGCAAATTGTTATCTCTGTCCCTTTACAAAATTTTGGGAGCCTATTTACCAGTGTTTTTTTAAATGTAGTTTCTAGTTGACCCCATTTTTATTTTCCTGTGTAGGGCCCATCCTATCCCCAGTGATTTTCCTGGTGCAGTAAATGATGAAAAGATCCCAAAAACCTGTGGTAATGATGCCTGACTGACTAATGTTCTCAAGCGGTTTAAAAAAAGTATTTGGGGCAAATTTGGGTGGGTGAGACTGTGTGATCCCGGGGTTTGGGGTATTAATTAGGGTTTAGTGAAACTATTTAACCAGAATTTTTCTTATACCTTTTTTCATAGCCCCGTTATTTTGCTGCTGAAAAAAATATTTAAGTCGCCCAGTATTTTTGTCTCGCAATTTTTTTTCAACTCCCACAAGACTCTGGAAAAGTCTTCTAAAAAACTGGTCCTGGGTTTGGAGGGGGCGGTAACTATTTTCCCACTTAAAATTGGGGTTTTGGGTTTAAAGGGAACAGGGACTTCAAAAACCTTTGAATCTCCAGTTTTTTTTGTTTAAATTTTAAAACAGGTTTGGGTTGAAACTAAAATCATTTCTTTAAAGTAGGCACATACTCCACCCCCCTTTTGTTCCATTAAGCGTTTTATATTGTAACCTCTTTTTTGAAAACCTTTTAAAAAACCGGTTCCCCCGTCACCGTATCATCCAAACCCAAAATTTAGAGTGGTTATAACTGCCGCCCTTAAATTTTTTACCCAGAATCCTAATCTCTGCCCCAAATTTTGGAAGAAAATGATCTTGCATTGATTCATGAATAAAGGAAGGCCGTTTTTTATAAAACAATCATAATCATCAAAAATATTGGGAAGGGGTTTTTTTATTTTAAAATTCCCGGGAAATCAAATTTTCATCCTGCTAAAGGGGAAAAGTGCCAAAGTGCATTTGTTTTCACACCCAAAATGAATTTTGGCACCCTTTTTATAAATTTTTACATACATCCATCCCTGCACCCCCCCCTTACACATTTTACATAAGGGGCCTTTTCTGTTTTTCATTCGTACTTTAGTACAGTGTATGCACCTTTTTGGGAGTGTTTGAGATAATAATGGTGTAAATTTTCCCCCATTGACCCCCCGGGATTTCATTTTCATATGGAGTTAAGGTTTTCATTCCAACTACTAGACCGTCCCTTATCGCCCCCATTTTATTCCCCCCCTGGGTTTTTCCCCGGCAAAAAAAGTTTTAGGTCCTGGATTTTTTTGGTTTTCACCACTTTAAAAGCGCTACAAAAAAAGCTGTGTGCCACTGGTTTTTTTTTGGGTATGCGGGGTTTTCCATACCCTTTCGGCGATAGTGAAAATTTACTTTTCTGGTAGGGTGGGAAAATGTTGGGCTTTTAATGTCCAGGGCGCGTTACTTTCCCTTCACCTTTTCCAGCCCCCATGACTGATTTCTTTCTTCCTGGGAATTTAAAAGAAATATAAATATAATTTATGGCAGCCTGTACCCCCCTAATGCCTGCCATTTTCACTCTTCGCTTTTTACTCATATACAAAATAATTTTTTTTTTCTCTTTTCCAGTCCCCCCAGTACACTTGTATCTGCTTTAAACAAACACACTGAATTCTAGGAAAATTTCCCCTTCAAAACCCTCTTCACTTGCTTTACTTTTCCCTTTAAAAAACAAAAACCCCTTTCAGTTGACCCCTTATTACCACCTCCCCCCTTCCCCTCTCACTTCACAGTCTGGCTTCCTTAATTAACTTCTAACTCCTTTCCATGCTGGTAGTCAAAAAAGGTTTAATCCATGGTTTTATCCTTCCAAATCCCCTCAATTCCTTTTTATCGGGGGTTGTGTGGGTTGTTGTCTCCTGACCTGTTCTGCGGACTCAGCCATTTTTAACCTTGACTGTCCCCGGCCGTATATATAGTTTTGCGAGGTCCCGGGGTTTTGACGAAATTTTATACTCAAAAATTTCTAGCGGCTTCAAATCAGGCAGGAAAAAGTAGTAGGCCCACATGTGAGAGAATGGGTCTGTGTGGTCAGTGTGCACCACTAAAAAAAAATCCTGGAGCAGCAGTGCATAATGAGAAAAAAAAAACTCCGACCGTTTTTTTTAATTAAAATGCCGACTTTGTGGTCTATTTTCGTATAGTATTTGGGTTGTATTCTCGTTTTCTTGGTCTCATTTGATAGAATGGAAACTATATTATAGAAATGGGGGTGATTTGATTAATTTTACTATAAAAAGAACCTGGAAATGGAGCACAAAGTACAGGAAATGTTTGATTTTTGCCCATGTTAAAAGTGAACAAATGATGTCATTGTCCAATAATGTCCAAATAGCCATTCTAATACGCAGTCATGGGAAAGGGTTGATGTAATTTTTACAATTATTACAGTATTTTCAGTAGTCTGCATAACAGTAAATCTTTTATTTTTTGTTTTAATAAAATTTCAAATAAAAAGCAAGAGTAATATCACAGGGACCTTTTGGGGACATGATGAATGAACAAAGAAAATGTTATTTTAGAGCCAGGAATGTCTGCATTGTTCATTCTGGACCTTATTTTTAAATTGTCGTATTTTTAATTTTCGTGAAATTGGCCAAATTGCAAATTCTGACCATGTTATTGGGTAGTTGAAATCAGTAAATGGGCAGTTTCTTGTACTCAATCGATAGAAAAAATAGAGTTCTGAAGAAATAGTTATGAGTTTGGTTGACTGGTATAACGGAATTAGCCGAAAATAGGGCTCAAAGTGGGCGAAATTGCCGATTTTTAAATATCGCCGAAGTCGCTAACTTCGCGAGAGCGTAATTCCGTCAGTTTTCCATCAAATTTCGTTTTTTTGGTGTCTTTACAACGGGGGAAAAAAATTCTCTATCTTTCATTAAAAAAAAATAAATTTTTTTTTTTTTCGAATATTTTGCGACACCAGAAGCAACTTCAGGATTTGGCCCTTCGACAGTCAAAGGGTTAAAACACTGAGGGGAGTAACGCCACCTACAACCTGACTTTCCTTGAGTTTATAGATATATTTGGCGTTTTCTGCTATGATTCTCTCACTGTACACTGGTCAGCTGAATATAGGTCAGCTACTAAAACATTAACCTTGACTGTTTAACTATTCACTTCTTTCTCACGACTGGCACTGAGGGATATCCGACCTATACCCTAGGAGTTTTGTACTGTTGATTTGACGATGTCTCCTGTGTTTCCCTCTCGTTAGCACTGGTACAGGTGATATGATGGTGGTACAGATATGATGCTACTGTCAACAGATGAACGTCAGTAAAGATGAGAATTTCACTTCGCTAGTTGTACGTCTGGCAGTAGCGGCTGTTTGGATGCCAGTCAGCCATGTTTAAATGCTCAATTCTTTCCCTCGTTTGGCACTGAAGAAAAAAGTCCTACAGACCTGTCATTTCCTTGGAGATTTAGTTGATCAGGTTTTCTGCCATGTTGTCTTCCCGTTAAACACTGGTGCAGTTGATATGGAGGTCAGTTATTTCATTGTATCCTGGTGAGCTTGGCCACAAGTACACCACTTTCATATTTTTCTACAATCTCTTTCTTGAATTCTGTCATGTTTCTTACCTTCTTTACCAAAGGGCTGGCACTAAGAACTTTCTTTGGGCCTATGGCAGCTTATTTCACAGTTGCACTCAATAAACAAGCACAAAAAACAATAGATTATTATGAAATGTTACGGATGAATGCTCACCCAACAAGTGACAGAGCCAGACTGAGACACATACGCATGAGTGGCGGCATCCCGGGTGGGCAGACACGTCTGATACAGATGATTTCCGGAACGAGGTACAAAATTCGGAGCAAAATTTTGCTGAAAAAAGTGGTCAAAATCCAAATCGTATGATATCCGGTGTGGATGAAATCTGGGGTTCCACTGTACTGTACTATTCAAGATGCTTTTATTTAGATTATTATCCTTGGATGGATGGAACCCTGGTAACCTGGATAAAGCAAGCAGTGTGGGGACTTATTTCCATTGGATTTTTTTTTTTTTTTTTTTTTAAGGTCCTCCCAAGATGTAGTCCATAATAGTCAGCTAACTCAGGTATCTTCTTACTGCTAGGTAATAGGCAGTAAGTGTTAGTAACAAGGGAAAGTGCTTCTGTACACTGCCTTTTGTGGGTTTTGATGTCTATCCTGGTCTGTAGGGCTGTGGTTGTTGCAGATGCTAAGCACTGTGCTTCAAGCTATTTGTATGAAAGTGTATCAAGACTAAAAGAAATTACATTTATTATACTGTATTTATAAACATTGGGTAGCTTAGATTTCTCCTTAAAACACAACCTACATTTCAGGTCACAATGGTCTTGTTGCTGCATTTTACTTGGCAAGGGCACAGAAGCGTGTATGTGTACTGGAACGACGGCATATTCTTGGTGGAGCAGCAGTGACTGAAGAGATTATCCCTGGATATAAATTTTCCAGGGCATCATATGTCCTTGGATTATTGAGGCCAATAGTGTATGAAGATATGGAATTAAAGGTAAAAATAAGTACATGAAACATGGGAAACTTTCTCTTTTCCCCATTTCTGTCTTTTTCTCTATGTGAAATTACCTACAGTATGTGTAGTTACAGGACAAACACTTTTTCTGATGCCCTGACATACTTACTTTCTCCACTCTGATGTCTGATGGTCCCACCTTTGCTACAGACACTTTGCTTTCCTTGCTGGCTGGCTTTATCAATTGTAATCACCTTTATTTTGGCCAGTGATCTTCCCTCGTCACTTCTGCCTCTACCTCTCCCCTCCATCTTTTTTTCCTTTGTTGTGTAGCACTGTCTGACCAGGGGAAGTACATAATACCTCCTAGACCCCTTTCTGGCAGTCTACTACATGTATTCTATTTATGAAAAAAAATTGTTTCTGAGATTAGGTTCTAATAGCCCACTAGGAATATAACCCACCCACAGGCATATATTTTTTACATTGTTGAGTTTACAGACTAAGAGGTACGAGTGGAATGATACCAAAAATTTTGCCAATATTGATACTCAATTTTAGGCCAGTACCAATGCTGTCAAAATTAGCCAATGCCTACAGATACTGGCACTGATATTATACCCACCAATACTCAATTTTAGGTTGATACTAATACCACCAATACTGATACTTTGGCACATTTCAAAGCCTAGGTCTTTTTAAGGTATAAAGTACATACAGTACTATCCCCTGTTCCAGGATGTGACCCACAGTTGTTGGCTAATATTTAGGTACTTATTCACTACTGCTAGGGTAACAGGCAACAGGTGTAAGTAAACATGCCTGTCTCAAACATGGGTGACTCATGGTTCAAGTGGTAGCACCTTCAGCTCATAAAGAATAAAAGAATAAAGAATAAAGATTTTATTTCTTTTCAGAGGTTACAAAGTGTAATTACAATTTTGCTTTGTTATATAATACAAAGACAGCCACTATCATGCCAGGGCATTTTGGGCAGACTAATCCTGGTACATAATAACTACCTAAATCTGGACAAGATAAGAGCAGTTGAATTTTTAATAAATCTTTATTTAACCCTTTGACTGTCGCAACCCCAAATCCTGAAGTGTCTCCTGGTGTCGAAAAATATTTCAAAAAAAAAAAAAATTATTTTTTCTTATCAAAGTGTTAAGATTAATTTTCTGATTGTTTTAAGCCCCAAAAAACATTTTACGGTCAGTACTTACCGAGATATAAAGGAGTAAAGTTGGCAGTAAATGATCCGCGTATGACAATAGCAGTGAATGCTGCTCACCTGGTAAACTTTGGTTTACTTCCAATCGAAGGTTTCCTGTTTATTTCACTATTTTATTTTTTACATAACTTAGTGGCCTGTGAGACCAAAGTAAGGTACAATGTACATATATACACTCATATGTAACACAATAATTGCACAAGCATTAGTATCATTATGTTGTTTACAAAACTTGTTTACACAAATATAGTATAAATTTTTTTTTATTACTATTGTTCTATAATACAGTAGACCCTCGACTAATGATATTAATCCGTTCCAGAGAGCTCGTCATTAGACGAAAATGTCTTTGAATTAATTTTCCCCATAAGAAATTATGGAAATCAAATTAATCCGTTCAAGACACCCAAAAGCACAAAAAAAAAAATATTTTTACCACATGAAATATATATTTTCCTACACACAAACAGAAGGATAAATGCACAATACATGTACATATGTATATTGTGTAATGAAGAATAAATGACACTACCTTTATTTTTAATTAAATCGTCATGCAACTGCCTTACCTTTTCACATACGATCGCTTGAGAGATGCTATTTCCTGATATCTGTTTTTCATTTATCCACACCAATAACAGTCTCAACATCTTCAACTACTTGCGATCTCTGTTTTGAAAACATACTTGCACCTTTCACAACAACAGCTTCCTTGATTGCCTTTCTGTTGGCCAAGATACTAGTGATGGTTGATTGGGGTTTGTTATACAACCTGGCCAGCTCGGAGACACGCAGTCCAGTTTCATACTTTGTGATGATCTCTTTCTTCATTTCAAATGTAATTCTCACCCTTTTTACCACAGGGTTGGCGCTAGAAGCTTTCTTGGGGCCCATGGTGGCTTATTTTGCAGTTACAAGCACTGAAAACACTGGAATAATACAAAATGTACCGAATGTATGCGTAGATGTGACCGCACTGGCTTGTAAACACTGGCACACTAACTGAAGGCAGGGCAGCTAAGGCGTGCTCAGGACAGTTGGGACACGTGGACACATTCGGGACGAATCATGTTGGTCGAGTTTTTCATCGTTGGTCGAGCCAAAATTTTTACACTTAAACGCTTCATTAGTCAAATTTATCGTTAGATGACGCCTTCATTGGTCGGGGGTCCACTGTATATATACAAATATTCAGTCACTGGACATGTTCCTAGAAGTGCTGAAGCTTGTGGAATTCTTTGAAACATGGGTGTATGCACAATGGTGTTTTACACTCCTCACACAAAAGAAGTGTGTCTGCATTTTTTTTTTTTTTTTTTTTTTTGTATGTGCACAAACAAAACACCTCCTCAGAGCAGTTTTCTTCAGAGTAGTAGCAGGCAGTTGTGTTAGGTAGTTATCCTAGGTAAATGGTCATGTGTCATCATGCCTACCCACCTACCTATCTTTCTTTCCTTCTTTCTTCATTCTTTCTTTCTTCATTCTTTTTTCTTCAGTCTTTTATCTTTGTTCTTTCTTCACTCTTTCTTTCTTCATTATTTCTTTCTTCATTCTTTCTTCCCTTCCATCCTTCTGGTTTCTATAATATATATACACATATATGGTCACCCTGCGTCGGTGGGAGACGGCCGACTTGTTGAAAAAAAAAAATATGTAGTCACTGGACACTTTCATAGAACTGCTACAGTATTATTATCTTATGTAAGCTTGTGTTGTGTGTGTATGTGTATGTGTGGACTCCTAAATATGCTGAGTCAGGGTCTGGCAGCTGTCAAAATGACATATTACTGCCTGTCAAGACCCATAGGGTCCCATGCCTTCCTGCCCACTTCCTTCCTAACTACCTACCATTCTTTCTTTCTTTTTCTTTCTTTCTTCCTCTTTCTTACTTTTTCTTTCTCTCTTTCTTTCTTCCTCTTTCTTACTTTTTCTTTCTTTCTTTCTCTTTTTTTTTTACACACTGGGTTTGACAAGGTTAGGTTAAGGATCCCTAGCTTTATTGACAAGCTATTTACAGGATAAGGATTCCTAACTTTATTGACAAGCTATGAGCTGTTACCTACATCAGCTCATTTAAAAGCATTTTTATTGTTATGAGACATACAAGTAGGGAACAGGATGAAGTTGGAGCCATCTGTGGGCCAGCATTTTCATCTGATCAACTGACTTGATCTGATTGACATCATAATGCTGTACGAATGTGTTCCATACTCGAGTCATCCTGGGGATAAATGGTCTCAGATGAAGTGATGTTCTGGAGAAGGGTACAGCCAGAGTGAAGTTGCTGCTTTCTGCCCATCTTGGGGTATAGAAGCTTGCTTCACACTGTCCTCAAAGTGGATCCAAGTATGGTACTTTGACAATACAGTGGACCCCCGCATAACGATCACCTCCGAATGCGACCAATTATGTAAGTGTATTTATGTAAGTGCGTTTGTACGTGTATGTTTGGGGGTCTGAAATGGACTAATCTACTTCACAATATTCCTTATGGGAACAAATTCGGTCAGTACTGGCACCTGAACATACTTCTGGAGTGAAAAAATATCGTTAACCGGGGGTCCACTGTATTGGCCTTGTACATAACAGTAAGGCTACCCACATCCCTCCTGTGTTGAAGGCTCTGCTGAAATGACAGATCTATCCAGGATTGGTCCAGGCGAGAGATGAGACATCTTGCTCTGTTCTCTACTCTGTCAAGCAGTCGCAGATGAGAGGGGGGCAGGCAAACCAAGAAAGTAGAGCATACTCAAGGTGTGAGCATACTTGTGCCTTGTACAGAATCTTGCAGCCCTTACTGTCAAGCAGATGCGAGATACAGCGAAGTGCTGTAAGCTTCCTGGCTGCCTTATTTGCAAGATTTACAATGTGGTTCTTCATGGTCAGTTTGGAGTCAAATTTCACCCCAAGGATATCAACTTCTTCCCCAGGTGCCAACACCCTCCCATTCATCCTTACTACTACACTGGCATTACCATCATGGTGCCTAGAGACCATCATCATTTGTGTTTTCTCAGGTGCAAAGGTTACTTGCCATCTATTTCCCCAAGCTGATATAGCTCTTAGCTTGTGATTGATATAGCTTAGAGCAGCTGACATTTCTTCTCTTGGATAAGTGAATGTCAGTGTACAGTCGTCTGCATATGCATGGGATTCTGGGATGAGCTGAAGAAGGTCATAGAAGTAGACATTTGATAACAATGGTCCCAGCATTCTTCCTTGTGAAACACTTGCCCCAATAGGATGTCTTGCTGATTCCATTCCATTGAGAACTACCCTTACAGATCTACCATGAAGGTAGTCACTGAGGAGACATAGCATAGAGCTTGCAATTCCCAGTGCTTGCAGTTTAGCTAAGAGGCCCTGGTGCCACACCCAGTTGAAAGCACCAGCAATGTCCAGTGCTACCACACAGCTGACTTTGGATTCATCCAGTGACTGGTGCCACTTAGTGGAGAGGTTTAACAACAGATCAGCAGCAGAGTAACCTTTCCTGAAGCCATATTGATGATCATAAAGTAGTGAGTGGTAGTCAAAAAACTCTGTCATTTGTCTTGAGATTATTGTCTCAAGGATCTGACCAGTGATTGACAGGAGTGACACTGGTCTGTAGTTGCTGATTTCTGCTCTGCTCTTCTTTTTGTGAACAGGGACTACATTTGCCTCTTTCCACAGAGAAGGCCATTTACACTGTACTAGGCAGTGCTGAAAGATGCGAGTTAGAGGTGCTGCTAGCTGGTCTGCACATCTTCTCAGCAATCTTGAGCTCAATTTGTCTGGGCCCACAGCCTTTTCTTGGCCAAGC